GGAGTCTTGCAGCCCTCTGTGCCCAGGGCCCTACTGGGCACTGACCCACGCCCTTTCTCCCCCTCTGCCTTGCCGCCAGCGGAGCCAGTGAGGAGGGAGACCACAGGCAGACCCAGTCCACCAGCCCCAAAGGGAGAGGGCAGAAGTGGGTTCTTGGCCAGATTGAGGGGCAGAACAGGATCTGGCAGCCCAGGGCCAATACCCCCACCACCCCCACCACCCCCACCATTGCCACAGGCCAGGGCACTGAGGTCGAGGGGGCCAGGGGCCAGGGGTAGGGGCAGGCCAGGCAGGCTGGGGCCTCCGAAGAGGGCAGCAGGGTTGGGAATGATGATCTGAGCCCCACTAACATAGGGGCTGCTGTCAGGGGTGGGCAGTGGTGGTTTGGGGGTGGGCGTAGCTGCAGGAGCTCCTGCTGCTCGTGAGACACGAAGTGGCCATGGGCTTTGATGTGCTTGCGCAGAGAGCTGGGGTCTGTGTAGCGCTTGTGGCAGCCARGCATCTTGCAGTAGTAGGGTTTGTCCACGTAGTGGGTGCGAGTGTGCTTGAAGCGGTCACTCGAGTTGGAGTAGCGCTTGTTGCAGCCCTCATAGGGACAGACATAGGGCTTCTCACCTGCAGGGGTAGGCCACATAAGGGAATCTTGCCCTACTCTCAGGTATTCCCACCCACGCCCTCAGCATTCTCCAGGCCCAGATCTCTCAGAGCAAGGACTCTGATTTGGGGGGCATCCCCAGCAATGTAGCACAAGAGCTGACTCAGTTGGCTGCTGCAGGCAGAACCCAGCCTGGTTAAGCCCCAGCTCTGCGATGGCCTTGCTATATGCCATCAGTTTGCCCCACTGCAGCTGGTAAACTTAAGCAGGCAGAACTCCACCTTGGAGGTTATGTAGCTCTAGGTGGGCTCACTAGTGTGCCCTTTCATTTGGCCTTGTTCAAAATGGCTCCATATTTACTAAGCCTTTACCACTGCACTGGCTAGGACAGCAACCAGCTGACTGCTGTGCCTTTGAAATGCAGCTGGTCTAAGTAGAGATGTGCTGTGAGAGTGACTTACAGACCAGAAAAAGAAACACCACACTAGGTTTCAAAGATTGTCTGAAGTAAGGATTTTCAGTGTCTTACTGATTTTTTTTTTAAATTGAAATTATTTAAATGGTAACAGTTTAAATATATATATTGGGGCTGGGGATGTGGCTCAAGCGGTAACGCGCTCGCCTGGCCATGCGCGGGGCGCTGGGTTCAATCCTCAGCTCCACATAAAGATAAAATAAAGGTGTTGTGTCCACCAAAAACTAAAAAGTAAATAAATTTCTCTCTCTCTCTAAAAATAAATAAATAAATAAATAAATATATTGGATTCAGTTAAATATATAATTGGGGCTAGGGTTGTGGCTCAGCGGTAGAGCGCTCGCCTGGCATATGCAAGGCCCTGGGTTCAATCCTCAGCACCAATAAAAATAAAAGTATTGTGTCCAAGTACAACTAAAAAATAAAAACTTAAAAATTAATGTCATCTATTTTCTTTTTAATGGTGATTAGACAATGTAAAACTAGTTCTATGGTTCTGTGAATAAGAGTTGGCTGTGGCTCAGGGACTAGGGAGCGATGCAGACCCAGTCTCTGCTGTCCTGAGGTAGCTAGCTATTAGTCAGATCATACAGCTAGGACACAGGAAGTTGTGTCCATGCTCAGTGTATGTTGGGGTCTGACCCATAGGAAGGGCTCCCCCAGCAAGTGGCCTTCTGAAAGGGTCATGATCAATAAGATTTGTTCCTCATTGCTAAGGTCCAGTCCTTCCTTCCTGCCTGCTGGGTGCCTGCCCTTTCTGTCCCCAGCCTGCCCAGCTCTCCTATGTAGGAAAAACCCCCAACCAGGCCTCTCACCTGTGTGGGACCGGTTGTGGATCTTYAGGTTCTCCAGGCGGGAAAAGCTCTTATTGCAGGTGGGGCAGCGGTGCGGCTTCTCGTTGGTGTGCGTGCGGATGTGGATGAGCATCTTGTACCTGGCGTTGAAGCCACGGCCATGGCGGGCACAGCCCTCCCAGTGGCAGCAGTACCCTGCATCCTTCTCAGGCTTGACGTGATAGGCATGACATGGTCCACCAGGTCTTGCAGGAGCTCGAAGAGCTGGTTACACTTGGCCCAGCGACACACCAGCTGCTTGGGCAGGGGCAGCTCTGGCGAGAGGCACTTGTCCTTGGAGGGTGTGAGGAAGGAGGAAGCAGGCAGATGCAGGGCCCCCCCAGAGCCCAGGGGTAGGAAGAACTGGAAGGAGCTGGGGACACTGTCCAAATATCGCAGTGGCTGGAAGTCCTTGGGAGTAAGGGCAAGGGAGAGAGCTGGTCAGTGCCCTCTTGAGACCCCCTTGCAGACCCAGACCCCTTCTGTCCCCTTCTGGAATGGGCTGAATATTGTCCCCCAAAAAGATACATTTAAGTCCTAATCCCTGGTACCTGTGCTTGTGACCTTATTTGGAAATGGGATCTTCACAAATGTAATCAAGTTAAAATGAGGTCCTGCTGGATTAGGGTAGCCTAAATGCAGTACCTGGTGTTTTTATAAAAGACAAGACAGGAAGCTGAGGACACAGGCTCAGAGGGAAGAAGGCCATGTGAAGATGGGGCAGACTGAGGTGATAAGGGTACCAGACTAGGGCTGCCAAGGAGGCAAGAAAGGACTGTTCCCTGGAGCTTTCAAGGGAACATGGCTCTGCCAACACTTTGTAGACCTGAGCTTCCAGAACTGTGGGAGAATAATGTTACAGAGCCCCAGAAAACCAATACAACTCTCCAAAATCCTCACCCTCCTTACCGGGGCAGTGGGCACTGGAGGCAGGTCCCCATTGCCCTGGCGCTCGGGGKAGAGTGAGCTGCTGCCATTGGGGGAGTCCAGTCCAGACGGTGGTGACAAGCTGAGGTCCACCAGAGGGGCTGCAGAAAAGCGTCCATCCACCTTCTCAGGAAACTTGGGGTTCAGCAGGAAGCCTAAGGGAAAGGCATGATTCAAGATGCTGGAGTCAAGAGTCAAGAGTCCTCAGGATCCCCACTGTGACGCGGGGAGCAGATGTCAGCTAGGCCCCCCAGAGGACTGTGGGACCCAGTATCTAAGGAGCAGCCTGCAYATCTGACAGATGTAATGATACTGTCGGCTGTTGGACTTTCATCACCCTGAGCACTCAGCCAACTGTGTAAGACAAAATGGGATGAAAGAGGAAGTACCATTTTATAGAGGAGACTGGTCTGGCACACAGGATGAATAATAGAAAAGAACTTGAACTCAGCTGGCTCCCTGGTTGACCAGCCTCAACACCTCAAAGCCCAGGTGAGATCTTGGGACCTATGCTACTACTTTTAGACCTCTGAAACCCCTTACCAAATTCTCCCAGGACCCTCAGTTTGAACCCTGGCTCAGCTCTCTGCTCCCTTCAAAACTGAACTGTTGGGAGGATGAATGGACAAACTTGTGGGTAGCACTCTAAACTGGAAGAAGCCAGGGGCTGTGGCTGTGCTCTGGTGGACACACCTTGGCTCTTCTTACTGTTGTCAATGCTCGGTCATGTGCAAGTCCCCCACCCTGCCTGGTGCAGTACCTGAGGGTGGGGAGCCTGGGGAGCCAGRTGTGGGGCTATCATCCACCAGGCCCAGCTCCCTGTGCAGAGTGCGGTGCCGGACCACACCCAGCACCCTCTCCCGCTTCTCTCTCGCCGCTCGGAGCTTGGTGATGCTCAGCTTCAGGTCAAGCGGCTCGTCCAAGGAGTGCATGGTGATGGGGTGGCGTTGGAGGGGGTAGCGGGCAGAAGGGGGCACCCAGCTGATCTTTAGGCAGGAACCTGGGGAAGGACAGAAGCTGTACTGTGACTCTGACCCCAGGCTCCTCCTCAAGCTATACCCATAAAAGCCCAAATGAGTAGAGAGGGAGCAATCTGGACCCTAGGTTCTTACGGAAAGAACCAACCACCTATTCAGAGGCTCCACGCCCACTTCCTCCAAGTTTTGGGGGAGGCTCAAGGCCTCCATTCTGCCATGAATGCTGAATTTTAGAGGTACTGCCTCAGGTCAAAGAGAAGTGGCAGAACTACAAGACTCAAGGCCAGACCTCTGACCAGTCATTTCATTTTTTTTTTCTGGTGATGCTGGGAATTGAACCCAGGACCTTATACATGCGAGGCAAGCACACTACCATCTGAGCTATATTCCTAGCCCCCCCCCCCACACAGTCATTTCTTTGAGAGGGGGAGCCTGCCTGGTCTGGGTCTGAAGACCTAGAAGCAGGCTGTGGGCAAGGAGTGTCCTCAAGGTGCCAGTTGATATTCCTCAGCAATCAAATGCTAGTGGCCCCTCTGTGCCCACCTTTGTCTATTCTCAGCAAGTAGCTCTGTCACCTCCAAGGGAGCCCAGCCCTGCTGATAGGGAAGTCTCAGGCAAGTAATGCAGAGTTTGGCCTCAAGGAACTGGGGACACTTCCCAGGTGGGGCCAGGAGAGGCATCCACAAGCCAATGGGAGCCACAGGGCTCTGGGCTGCCAGCAGGGGGCAGATGGGGACTGTGGTCAGGCTGGCCAGAGCTGGGCTGGTGGAGTAGACCAGCTCAGTACATAAAAACCACATACAGTAAGGTGATAACGCTCTTCTATTATATGTCTCATGCTATAATTTTCATATAATTTCTCATTGGTGTAATTTTCACATAAATGGACTCAGGATCCTCTGACCAAGCTGTCAGCTCATCCCTCCAAGTTCAGCACTTCATTCTCCCAGCAGCAGTCTTTACACACAGAGAAAACACTCCCACTGTTTCCTGGCCTTTGTTCATGAAGACTGGTGCACCCTGTAAATCTCTACTAACACAAGATCCTGTCACTCGCTGTATTTAATACAAAAGGGTGGACATGGTGGGTGGGCCATTACCTGGAAAATTGCACCCAAATTTGTGTCTGGGGGGGGAGGGGGGGCAGGATGGTAGTGCACATAGGGATTCAGAGCTGCTGGAACACTCTCAGGAATAGGACAGGGATGACAACCCCCACGTCCCCTCTCATCCCTTCTCTAGACCAAGGCCCCTTGGCAACTTCACCCACTCGATGCAGTTCATCCTTCCCCTCTACCTCCTACAAATTCAAAGCTTATGCAGAGACTCCCCAAGCACACAGGAAATAGTCCCTTCCTTCACTTGAGACCCCCTGCTTGCTGGGACAAATCCCCAGATCCTACAATATATGCATGGCTAACATGGAGTCTCTGAGCATAGAGAGGTTGTCCACCCCTCCCAGGCCTGCATCATCAGAGCATGGATGGGCCACTCTTGGCTTCAAGACCCAGGTCTGTGACTTGTCCCTGTTGGAGCTGTCAGATCTATGTGCGACACATACCCCCTACCATACACAGATCAAGCATTCCCAACAATATAAAGGAGGTGGGACCAGAGCACCACTCTTCTCCTCAGGAGGCCTAGATCCTAGCTTGCAGGTGGGTAGGTGGCAGTGATGGATGACCTTGGGTCCCCTCCTCCATTTCCCTGAGCAGGGAGCTGTCCTCTGCCTGACCCCCACCTCCCTAGTTATGTCTCTCTGTCTGTGTCTGCCTGTCCTTCCACCTGTTTATTTTTAGACACAGGCCCAGTCCAACCTCCCCAAAGCTCCTGTGTGCTGAGAGCCTGGAAGGAGAGGAAGGAAGTAAATATTTATGCTGATTAAGAATTCAGGAGCCAGGAAGGGCTGGTGGCCTGGTCCCTCTGCTGGCCCAGGGCCACAGGCCTCCCCATACCCCCTGTCCTCACCTCCACCCCAACCCTTCCAAAGGAGGGAACCACAGGCATAATGTTTGGGGAGCTGGGAATCCAAGTTGATGCTGACTCTCGCTGGCAATGATGCCCAAGCAACATCTTGTGGCACCTGCCCCACTGTCCCTTCCACCCCTCCCAGGGAGCTGTGGGAGGAGCCATGGCCCTGGGTCACCTTGTTCTTTGAACCTGCCCTAAAACTGGTTCCCTGTCTCAAAACTGGGGAGGTCCCAAGAAAAGCCATCTCTATGGGGGGGCACAGTCCCCCCATCAGCAGGCCCAGCCCCCCCCCCATCCTGGTGCTGAGTTCTACCCAGGGAGGCAAGGGCTCATTCCTATGGAAGCCAGAACTCAGCCCAGGCACCACCTCCTGCTCCTGGGAAAGGAAGGAGCCATCCCAAAGCCCTCATTTCCTAGCAATCCCATCCAAGACGAGCCTGCCTAGAATTTTCCCTCCGCAGGGACCTACCCCGTAGGGAGATGGCCTGTAACCCCACTCCTGCTCTGATCTTGGCCAACCTCAAAGTGTTCCCCCACCCCCATCCACAGGCACCGGCTTGGCTCTGCTCTTTGTTCCGGGGATGGATGAAAAGGGCAGGAAGGAGAGCCTGGTTCCTGCTCTGTTTAATGCCTTAGTCCCATCACCTCCTGCACTGGCCACACCGTCACCTGATTTAAGGCATGGGGGGGCGGGGCGCGATGACCCTCGGAAGGGCGGAGCGCCGCCTGCCTTGCTCAGAGAAGACGAGCCTAGCCAGCGGTGGACCCAGTGCCGCTTTGTCCGCGAGGTCTCTCCCTCGCGGTGGGGCGGTCCCGAGGCAGGAGCCCATCCCTCTCGGACAGGTGGCGAGGTGCAGGGCCCGATGTGGCGGGGTGGAGCGTGCCGACCCGCGGGTCACCTCCCTCCCGCGGAACCTGCCGGCGCGTTGGAAGGCGTGCGCCTCGCGCCCTGCTCCCGCGGCGTGGAGCTGCGATCAGCGACCCGCGGCCGCGGCTCGCAGCGCTAGCACAGGGCGGCCCGGGACGCGCGCGGCGCTCCCACGCCGACGTCCCGCGAGTAGGCCGCGCGGCCGGGCCTTGCGCGGCTTCTCCAGCTGCAAAAGGAACTAATTAGAGCGGAGGGAGCGGGAGGAAGCGGCGGCGGCGAAGGAGGAAGCGCGCGGGGGTGGCACAGGGACCACCGGGGTGGCGGGGGCTGTGGGGGCTGTGGACGGCCCTCCCCCACCCTGGGGCGGGGGTCACCCGGAGGGTGGGCTGGGCGGGCCCCCTGCCGGCCGGGCCGAGACAATGGCTGCTATTGTGCGCCTGCGGCAGTCCTGAGCAGACGGCCCCCAGCTGCAGCGGCCCCCAGCTGCAGCGCCTGGCCCGGTAAACCCTACTGCCACCCCCAGAGGGCGGGTCTGGGTGCTTCCATCCCCACCCTCCCAACCGCAGGCCCCGACCCCGGTGGGGAAACTGAGGCTCAAGGTCACCAGGCTAACAGAAGACTGCTAGAACTGGCTCTGGATAAAGTCCCTCCTGCCCTGAGCCTGGAGGGGCAGAAGTGCAGGGTGGGGTTGGGGGTTATTTGTACTGGACAGAGTGGGGCGTGACAGATGAGGAACTATGAACTGACAAACAGCCTAACTTGACTAGTTTCCTTGGCAGAAACAGAGAGGACAGAGCCCTCTGTTAAACTAGGGCAACCTCCCTACTCACCCTCCAGCAGCGTAGGTCAGGTGAGTGACCACCAGTGTATCAGTGTTGCCAAGCGCAACTTGAGGGGTACCCCTTATTCCTGGGATAGTCCTGATACTGCCCCTTTGGTCAGCTGTGGCAAGTCCAGCTTGGGCACCCTGTTCTTAACAGATGTTGAAATGGAAGGCCAGAGGGGAGGCACCTGTTACAGCAGGTGCTGCTTCATCCCCAGTTCTTGGATGCAAAAACTGAGGCTCAGAGAAACTTAAGTGGCCTGTCCTGGGTCATGTGGCAGTGACAAAACTTTCTCCTGTGCTCATGGATGTGGGAAGAAGTAGACCAAGAGCTTAGGCCAGGCACCCCCTCCCTGTCAAGGGGTTTGTGGGGTCTCAGTGCAGAGCCTGGGAGAAGGGGCAGCAGAGAAGGCAGTGGATGGGCACCAGGGGGAGCAGACCTGGGTGGGGAGGCCCACTGGAGGCAGAGATGCTGCCAAAGCAAACCGCCCCACAGCCCCACATTCCTGGGAACTGGCTGTGGCTCCCTGCTCTAGCCAAGAGCTCCACCCTAGTAGGCTGCCCAGCCACCTGGGCTGGAAGGCAGGGGCAGGGCCTCCCTTTCTGACAGGCAGAAGGCCATGGCTCCAAATATGGAGCAGACCACCTGGGGCCCCAACCTGGCCTTGCTACTTCCTGCCCATGTCACCTGAGCCTCTCCATCCTCATGGATAAAGTGGAATGATAAAAGTAACAGGATCCCACCTAAGGTTTGGGGAGAAAGCAAGGCAATGCTACATATCCAATCCTGACTTGGTGCTTCCCATTAGTATGACATATTCAGCACCTAGAACAGGGCCAATCACATAGTAGGTACTTAGTAAAACTTGTCATATGAATTGTCACCACTGCTGAGTACCCAGCCTTTGGCAGTCTAGAGCTGTAAGGTGCTCAAAGCAGGACTGGCTCTCGGCTCTATACCCACAGAGAGTTGCGGGGAGAACCTAACCTGGGAGAATCTTGGCTTTGCCAAAGCTACTGGTTGATCTTTACCCCTCAAGAAAGCCTTGGGCCTCTGCTGTCCTGTGGAGTGACCACAGCAGGCCCTAGCCACCTTCCAGAGCCTGAGTACTGAAAGCCTGGATTAGCCAGAGACAGACCTCCTCCCAGGCCTAAGGGAGGGGCTTGTCCAGAGGCCTGGCCCAGCAAGTCCCAGGAGAGGGGCCAGGGAAGGCAGCACTTCCTGGAAGGCCCTGGGGTTAGCCTTCCCTGGGAAACCTCTGACTCTGCAGACAGCCCCTCCCTATCCCACAAGGGCACCTAGCCAGCAGCCCACCCCAATGGGGATACAAGGGGTACCCAGTGGC